GCCATCATGCCTAGATAATTTTTAAACTTCTTGTAGAGACAGGCTTTGTTCTGTTGCCTTGGCTGGTCTTGACCTATTGGGCTCAAAAGATCCTTCTGCCTCAACTTCCCAAAAAATTGGGATTACAGGTGTAAGTCACCATGGCCGGTTTGGAGGGTTATTTTAAAAATACATTTTTCTAGCCGGGCATGATGACTCATGCCTGTAATCCCAGCACTTTGGGATTACAAAGTGCTGGGATTACAGGATCCCTGAGGTTGGGAGTTCAAGATCACCTGAGGTTGGGAGTTCAAGACCAGCCTGACCATGATGGAGAAATCCCTTCTCTACAAAAATTGAAAAAATTAGCCAGGCATGGTGGCACATGCCTGTAATTCTAGCTACTAAGGAGGCTGAGGCAGGAGAATCACTTGAACCTGGGAGGCAGAGGTTGCGGTGAGCTGAGATCGTGACATTGCACTCCAGCCTAGGCAACAAGAGCGAAGCTCCATCTCAAAAAAAAAAAAAAAAAAAAAAAAAAATTTTCTGTCATTTCCATGGAGCTTTGGCAGAGAGGGAGAAAAAGCATGTGTTCAGGCCACCTTTTTGATTTAGCCTTTTCTAATGCATAAAATATGTAACTGCATAAAATTTTTAAAATTGCATTTTAAAAAATGTATAAAATATGTAATTTCAAAAACATTTTTCCCTTTGAAACTTTATTACACAAATTAAAATATAAAAATAAAAGTAGACCAGTACAGTAAACCTCCATGAGCCGGCTTCACTAATGAGCAACTTAGGACCTGTTTCCCACTCTCTCTCTGACCCCATTCCCCAGCCCTGGCTTATCTGAAGCAAATCTAGAGCTCTAATAACTTATTTTAGTATCTATAGCAAACAAGGGCATCTCTTTTATTTATTTATTTATTTATTTATTTTTATTTTTTGAGACGGAGTTTCGCTCTTGTTACCCAGGCTGGAGTGCAATGGCGCGATCTCGGCTCACCGCAACCTCCATCTCCTGGGTTCAGGCAATTCTCCTGCCTCAGCCTCCTGAGTAGCTGGGATTACAGGCACGCGCCACCATGCCCAGCTAATTTTTTGTATTTTTAGTAGAGACGGGGTTTCACCATGTTGACCAGGATGGTCTCGATCTCTTGACCTCGTGATCCACCCGCCTCGGCCTCCCAAAGTGCTGGGATTACAGGCTTGAGCCACCGCGCCCGGCAAGGGCATCCCTTTTAAAACCTAACTGCAGTATCTTGATTCCACATTCCGGCCATCACAACCTGGCCAGAAATGTATTTTTAAAATAACACTCCAATCAATAATAATTCCTTCACATAATCAAATATCCAGTTTAACATTTTCCCCATTGTCCTATAATTTTTAAAAGGTTTGAATTAGAAGGCTGGGCACGGTGGCTCACGCCTGTAATCCCAGCACTTTGGGAGGCCGAGGTGGGCAAATGACTTGAGGTCAGAGGTTCGAGACCAGCCTGGCCAACATGGGTGAAACCCCGTCTCTACCAAAAATGCAAAAAATAGCCCAGCGTGATGGTGGCAGATGCCTGTAATTCCAGCTGCTGGGGAGGCTGAGGCTGGACATGGGAGGTGGAAGTTGCAGTAAGCCGAGATTGAGCCACTGCACTCCAGCCTGGGCGACGAAACAAGACTCCATCTCAAAAAAAAAAAAAGAAGAAAATGAGGTTTGAATTAGAATCTAAACAAGATTGAAAACACTGTGACTGATTAATATATCTCTTACTATCTTTTGATCTTTAGAGTCTCACTCTTGCCTCATTTTTTTCTGCTTTGCTACTTAATCGTGGCAAGGGGGGTTCTGTAACGCAGTTTCCTCAGTCTCATGCTGCTGACTTATCCCACCCTGAGCATGTGCCTCTCCCCTCTACTTTTCAATTGGTAGGGAACGCCCAGTATGTAACTAGGATTAGGTTCGGTTCTTTGGCATGAGTAGATGGTGGTATATACCTCTGTCAGGAAGCGCGTATCTCTTTTGTGATTCTGGGAGCCATTGATGATCATTGATTAGAACCACTAATCTATTAGGAGTTTCCAAAGTAGTGATATTCTAACCCTGTCATTCCTTCTTCATTATTGAGTGGAATGATTTTATAAGGAGGCTCTTACCCCCTCATAAACGATTTGGTGACTCTGAGGAGTTGTTCATACATCAAAGGTAAAATGATTCTTCTTGTCCTCTACTGGCCAGTTTTCAAGCCAGCGTCCTGTTCCACAGTATCCTCCACAGGACTCATCACTGAGGCGTTTTGTTTTTTAAGTATCATTATGAACTTTGGATTCATTTGATAAGTTTTAACCTGTGCAGTTATCTTTATTGATCCTCAAATATCCCCATCTTTGGCCAGTAAGAACCTATTCTAGATGGGCCTGAGTCCTTTTGATATTACCCTAATGGTCCTTAAGAGTTTCCTTGCTTTTGTATGACAGTACATTCCAGGCTCATCTAGTATGTTTCATGCACTAGACCTGGAATTTTTTTAGGGAGCCTTGGTTGGTTTTAGTGGGATATGGAATTTAAAGACCATAATCTGGGTACTGCTTCTGGTTAATCTGAGAACATTTCACAGTTTCACTTCAGAACAAAATCAGGACTATAGGATTTTTATTTGACTCTATCTTACTTCTGTATTTTCTTTCGTACATCCCCCAAATCCCAATTCTCAATGACGCCACCATAATCAGGAGCTTTATCCCATAAGAAAATAACAGTATCAACATCATTACCAACAATATCGTTACTCAACAGTGTAAGATTTTTTGTGAAGTTATTTGTGCCTTTACAGTGTATCTCTCTAACCATATGCAATGACATTATGTGTTTTTTTTTTTGAGACGGAGTTTCACTCATGTTACCCAGGCTGGAGTGCAATGGCGCGATCTCGGCTCACCGCAACCTCCGCCTCCTGGGTTCAGGCAATTCTCCTGCCTCAGCCTCCTGAGTAGCTGGGATTACAGGCACACACCACCATGCCCAGCTAATTTTTTGTATTTTTAGTAGAGACGGGGTTTCACCATGTTGACCAGGATGGTCTCGATCTCTTGACCTCGTGATCCACCCGGCTCGGCCTCCCAAAGTGCTGGGATTACAGGCTTGAGCCACCGTGCCCGGCCGACATTATGTGTTTTAAGTCACTTGGAATGGCTTCCTTCTGTGGCTTTGTGCCACCAATAGGATACAGTTGGCTTTCCCTGTCCACAGGTTCCACATTCTGCGGTTACAAAGAGCTAACTGTATACATGTTTGGGTTCATTTGCATTTTGCTTTGGATATTTAGGGATGGCTTTCTAATTTTTTTTTTTGAGACAGAGGTCGGAAGATTCCTTTAGCCCAGGAGTTCAAGGCTGCAGTGAGCCACGATGGTCCCACTGCATTCCAGTCTCGGCAACAGAGTAAGACCCTGTCTCAGAAAAAAAAAAAAAAAAACACTTTTACTTTAGAATTGTTTCAGAAATAAAAAAAAAAAAAAAAAAAAAACAGAGAAATTACTGACATGGTGCTATGGTCTGAATATTTGTATTACTCTAAAATTCTTATGTTAATATCCTAGCCCTGACAGTGATACTTTTACAAGGTGGACCTTTTGGGAGGTGATTAGGTCTCAAGGGCAGAATCCTTGTGAATGAGATTAGTGCCCTCATAAAAGAGGCCTAAAAGGGCTCATTTTTGCCTTCCTTAAAAATAAAAAAAAAGTCGACTGGGTGTGGTGGCACATGCCTATAATCCCAGCACTTTGGGAGGCCAAGGAGGGCGGATCATGAGGTCGAGAGATCGGAGACCAACCTGGCCAACATGGTGAAACCCCATCTCTACTAAAAATATAAAAATTAGCTGGGCGTGGTGGTGCGCACCTGTAGTCCCAGCTACTTGGGAAGCTGAGGTAGGAGAATCGCTTTAACTTGGGAGGTGGAAGTTGTGGTAAACCGAGATTGTGCCACTGCACTCTAGCCTGGTGACAGAGCGAGACTCCATGTCAAAAAAAAAAATTAATAAAAATAAAAATAAAGATCCTTGTCTTAAAGAATCAAGCTTAAGATTTATTAGTTGAAGCTTGAAACAGCAGATTTCTTAAGCATCTTATCTAAATTGTGGGACATTTTACCAATCTTGAATGCAGAAATATAGCAAAGAGTCTGACAAAATATTTTTAAAATTCGTATTTTTAACCAGTATACGTAGTTTTAAAAGACAGTTTTTCAAACATATTTGCAAGTAAAACTAAGATAAATTTATGGGTCATTAAAATTTACCTTAAATATTATGTGATAAGTTAGTTTTTAAACACTAATTATGAGTTACATTAAAACGTTAAATGCAATAATTACTTAACGTGATGAAGAATGGTAACAAGAAGTCTTGTTAATGAATATAATTTATATTTTTCTAATCACAGTACACATTCACAAAGCTGTTAACTCATTCTAGTAACTGCAGATCCTCTGTTCATGTGATTGTAGGAAAAATATCTGAGAAAGCTATTCATGAAGTTACATAACTTAGATTGGGTATGGTAGCTCACACCTATAATCCCAGCACTTTGGGAGGCCAAGGCGTGTAGATCACTTGAGCCCAGGAGTTCAAGATCAGTCTGGCCAACATGGCGAAAGCACATCTTTACTAAAAAATAACAAAAATTAGCCGAGCATGGTGTTGCACGCCTGTAGTCCCAGCTACTTAGGACGCCGAGATATAAGAATCACTTGAACCTGGGAGGCGGAGGTTGCAGCGAGCCGAGATTGTGCCACCGCACTCCAGCCTGGGTGACAGAGAACGACTCTGTTTCAAAACATAAGTAAATAAATAAATAAACAAACAGAGCTGTGGATGGGGGCCCAGACCCCCTGCAAAGGGGAGAGAAGCCTTTTTACATATATATGTAAAATTTAAAAAATCATTTAAAGATATAATAGGCATACATAGCTCATATATTTCAGGAAAGAGAATTTCATTCTTACATTTTGTTTTAGAAGAAATACCTTAAGTTTTTGCTGAAGGTGTTTTACTTCCACCTGCAGAGTCTTGCTAGCTGTTTGAGCCGCTAAAGTCTTCCGATTCTCAATAGCCAGCTGCCGACTAAAGGCTCTGCTACTCAACCTCAGTTGCTTTTCCAAGCTCTGAAAACAGTATATATTTTAACTATTCTGCAACCAAGTTAGGATTGTCAAAAACTTCAATTATAATGAAACTAACTACATTTATGAAAAGTGCACATTTTCAATACAATTTTAATGAAAGGCTAATATAGGGAACATATATTAGAATGAAGTATAACTGAAAGAAAGCCCCCAAATCCCAGATCCCAGCTCTAGAGAACAAATATCATATGTTTTGAGCCTGTTTTTTACATGCTCTAAAATTTGATTTAAAAAGTCTTTAGTTTTTGAGTTGGAGTCTTACTCTGTTGCCCAGGCTGGAATGTAGTGGTGCGATCTCGGCTCACTGCAACCTCTGCCTTCTGGGTTCAACTGATTCTCCTGCCTCGGCCTACGGAGTAGCTGGGATTACTGGTGCACACCACCATGCCCGCCTAATTTTTGTATTTTTAGTAGAGACAAGGTTTTGCCGTGTTGGCCAGGTTGGTCTTGAACTCCTGGCCTCAAGTGATCTGCCTGCCTTGGCCTCCCAAAATGCTGGGATTACAGGCATGAGCCACTATGCCTGGCTTCACTGAAAGATTTTGACCAGATCCTAAAATCAGTAGACATCGTTAATGGTCATTCCCAGATGACACAGACTGAATATGGACTCGAACCACCACATCCATCCATACTGATGGACTATAAGACAATGAAATGACTGATTTAACTCAATAATCATCTACACACATATTCATCTGCTCTCTAGAATGAGGACTATTTTATTGGAGAACTGTTTGATCTGGATTTGACAAATGGCTTACCAAAAGGACTATTTTTCTTTGTTTTAACATAAAAGTAGGACCTCCTCCATTATAACGTCAGCACTTTTTCCAAACAGGAAAAGTAAAAGATATGGAAAGCTAAAAGGATGAAAGAATCACTAAAAATACTACTCCCTAAAACATTCAGGTTAAAAAAATAACATGTTTTGGTCCACATGTTTTCCTCCCCTAAATGCCTGCGACCAAACTGAGATTTCTCATACTTGGTAAGTCCTTCTTATTTAAAAAAAAAAAAATAGTTATGCAATTTATTTTGGTTTTACTTATAGGCATGAAAACATGAACTACTTAGATACATATATAAAAATGTATTTCCTGTCACATGACAGACATATGCTAAGATAAATACAGTATTACCTAAAAGGCCAAATAATATCACTTTGGTATACAAGAGTGAAAAATGAGGTTGCTCGTTATTTTCTGTAGATCACATATCAATTTCATGTGAGAAAAATTTCTTGGAAAATACAGAATTTTAACAACAGAAGAAATGTGAGATAAAAATGTGGAGGAAATGAACTGATATTTACTTAAAGATCACAGAAAATACTAGTGTTTCACCATCAAATATTAAATATTTAAATCCTAAATTAATTCCATTTATGTTTATGTCTATAGACTCAAACTATCTAACAGACAGAAGAATTCTTAATATGGTATCAATGCCTTCCCCCAAGTCCTCCCTTACAATGTATTCCCCAGGATTTTGACAACCATGTGCTGTTGAGGAAAATCCATCCAGTCATCTCTTTAATTATTTTAATTCCTTTTCCTTCCCTAATACCAGGAACATTATCTGGGACAAACTGCTATTTTAAAAATAACTACAAATGTCTGTGTGGTAATGCCTGGCCAAACTGGTGAGGGAGAATCCAAGTCACTGAACGGACACACTGAGTAGCTTTTTAGGGAAACAGCCTTTTAATAAACAGTTTAAGGGCTGATTTCAAAGACAGGTTTCACGTAACACAATGCAATCTTTTCAGCACAGGAAAAAGGTCCCTTAACAGTGGCTGTACTGTCTTAGAAACGGTCATTTCCAGATAAACTAGTCGAGCCACAGAATGAACTCTTGTGCACTACAACAGGATGAACATTTCTAGTTTGAGCTGCTTCTGTTTTTCCTTCAAACCACTCCCTTTCCCTGCCCTCTATTAGACAATATAATTATTTAGTGTAGCATGCCAAGCAAAGCAGTTAGTAATGGTTTGTTACAGAGGGGGCACATCTATGACTAATGCACACCCTCTCTCTATAAATTCCGGAAACTTATAAAATGTCTGGGCCCCTGAAATACAGACCTGTATTTTTTTGTCATTTGCCTCCATTTTTGTTGTAATAATAGATAACTTCTGAGTAAGTTCTTCCCTTTCTGCAAGGTTTTTGTCTTCAGAAAGTTTCTGCAGTGCCTGCAAGGCATCTTTAGTCTTCAGTAACTGGCTGTCAGTTTCTCTAAGTTTCCTAGATATGGTTCTTTCCTTTTCCTGGGATTTCCTAAGGAGTTGCCTTAAATTTTTTACTTCATTCTGATGTTTAGCCATAATTTGTGGTAGATTATTTTGTGAATTCTCATATTTTCCTATAGCTTTCAAATGCCTAAGCTGAAGTTGTTTCAAAAATCGGTTTTCTATAAGGATGGCTTCCAATTTATGATTCACATCAGCTAATTCATTTTTTAGTCCTTTAATTTTATGAAGCCTTGCCGAGAGTATTCGATGAGCCATAGCATCTCTTCTTTGGGCAATCATATTGATTTGAGATTTAAAAAGTGATGTATTCCAGGTGTGCTTTTTTTCAACTGAGATTTCCTTCTGGCCTGTGTAAGCAGATAATCCAGTTTACTACTAGTAATATATACAGATATGCAAATATGCACAAATGCATAATCTCCCTCCTCCCCCAATGCACACACACCACACACATACACACAAGCGTAAGTGTAACCAGAAGGGGAAAAAAACTAACATTTAATGAACGCCCATGCTTTAGTCTAGGTACTTTATATATAAATATCTCATTTAATACAATTATTTAAAGTCAGTTGTAATATATTTTATAGCTGGAGATTTTATTCAGCTATAAAATATATTACAACTGACCTTAAAGAACTGTATTAAATGATATATGTATAGCCACAAAGTGACACAGAATGGATTGAAAACCAGATCTTCTTTGACTCTAAAATCTGTGCTTAGATTTCTATTATAACAGCTAGACTAAAAACTGTGATAATAGGCCAGGTGCAATGGCTCATGTCTGTAATCTCTGCACTTTGGAAGGCTGTGGTCCAGGACCGCTTGAGGCCCGGAGTTTGCGAACAGCCTGATCAACAGAGTAAGATCTTGTCTCTAAAAAGAAAAAATTATTTTTTAATTTTAATTTTTATTTATTTTTTTGAGATGGAGTCTCACTCTGTCACCCAGGAAGGAGTGCAATGGTGCAATCTTAGCTCACTGCAACCTCTGCCTCCCAGGTTCAAGTGATTCTCTTGCCTCAGCCTCCCAAGGAGCTGGGATTACAGGCGCCTGCCACCACAACCAGTTAATTTTTGTATTTTCAGTAGAGATGAAGTTTCACCATGTTGGCCAGGCTGGTCTCCAACTCCTGACCTCAAGTGATTCACCCTCCTCAGACTCCCAAAGTGCTGGGATTACAGGCATGAGCCGCCGCGCCAGCCTCTAAAAAAAATTTAAGAAGTAGCCTAGCGTGGTGGCACATGCCTATAGCCCTAGCTCCTCAGGAAGCTTGGTGGGAGGATCACTTGAGCCTAGGAGTTTGAGGCTGCAATGAGCTGGTACAATCCAGCCTGGGTGACAAAGTGAGACCCTGTCTCAAAGACAGACAATCCCCATGGTAACAGCTGAAATTTACTAAGTGCTTATCCTATGTCAGGCATTGAACTAAATGCTTTCTGTATATTATCTGATATAAACCCTTCAACAATATGTTATGGGTAATTACAGTGTAACATGAGAGCCCAGTGTAAAGATCTCATATACTCAAAATGCTCTTCAAAAAGTCATCAAATTGTATAGTCTATTTATCTACAGATACTGATTTTCCATGTCTCAATAAATCCAACATAGTTTTTCCTGTTACTTTGCCTGGGCACCAAATGAAGTAACTGGCATGTGTTCAGGGGTCTATTTTAAACAGAAAGTCTTTAAAAACATCACATTTAGCACCAACCTTACATAATTGAATTTGAGTATGTTAAATACATGTGTAAATGACTGTACTATTATCCCATTTTAATTTTTTTTTTTTTTTAGACATGGGGTTTCACCATGTTGGCCAGGCTGGTCTTGAACTCCTGACCTCAGGAGATCCACCCGCCTCGGCCTCCCAAAGTGCTGGGATTACAGGCGTCAGCCACTGCGCCCGGCCTATTATCCCATTTTAAAGATAAACACAATGAAGCTTGGGGATGTCCCTTGTCAGTGGGCACACAAGCTAGGAAGTGGAGAGACAGAGCCCACTGTCTGTGTGCCTATGCTAGTGCCCCACAGGTGTGTGCATTTGTACAATATAGGGGTATATGTATGTGTGCACCTGTGTATGTAAATATATATGTGGTGTGCAAGTATACATATTCATATATCTAGATTCTGAGAAGGAGAAATCGAAACTGGATTCTAAACTCTAAAAATGTCTGATCCTCATTCTGGAGAGAGGACATTTAGTGGCCAATGTCACCAGAGTCCTAACCTTAAAATACTGGTCCAAGTGTGGACACATCTGAGATGTGGCTTAATATGTTTGCTCCAGGTGGTGAAAAAGGCAATTCTACCTGTGATAGAAACAATGAACCAAGAGAGCCAAAGTGTGCCTTCCGGAAATGAAGGATTTGAATCACGACTGTGAAAGAATACATAGATTATACAACACAGTATCGGTATCACATCAATAACTGGTGGCCTGTCTTTCCAATTATGTCTTCAAGTGTATGTTTTTTCCCACAGTTTAGTCGGGGCTATGGTTGAATATTGATTATTTTAGAATAGACTTCTGAGCACACTAAGAAGTGGGAAGTGGAGCAGGCCAGCCTCTAGGGCACCTTCTAGAAGGCCTGTGAAGATGTGTCTGTGGTTTTGTTGAGGCTGTACACTTGAATACTCTGTGCACTGGCTAGGGAAACTTGAGACCCAGGCAATATGGATCAGGCTGGTTTAAAACAGGGGTGGTCGAGGACTGACATGTTCTATACCATGACTGAACCTGACCCCCAACTTGTAATGTCTTTCAGCTTTTAGGTGCTCTGATCCTGTAGGGGAGAGGGCTTTCACTGAGACAAGGAGGACTGGTGACGGGTTCCATGGGCACTGGAGACTTATATGCCCCTCTCATGCCAGGCTCAAGTGATGGGAAGGCAGAGGCATGAGAGGGTGCTGACGGACTAAGCGCCATGGCCACAGGAGCTCTGGCCAAGGCTCTGGGAGTCAAGAAGTGCACAGAGGGCATGGATGCTTTGAAAAGGGGAGGGGTTGGCCTTTTAAAGATCACATGGGCTTGGACAAGGAGATGTAAATGGTAAAAATGAAGGACAGAGGCTCCTCCCAATATTGTTCTTTGTGTAAGGCCGTTTCCACATCCCTGCCCCCTCATATTCCCTCCATTCCCCAAATGCATCTGAGACTGAACTTCCTGTCTATCCTAGTGAGTGGGTAGGGAGGATGAGCCAGGTTACATACCCCTCACTTGCATTTGAGGGGTAACAAATTCATACTATATCCATCATGCACACTTGTATAACTATAAAGGCTATGGAAAACTGGAAGAGGGTGTAAGCTTTAATGATTTTATATCTCATTATCCTAACCCACACACAATAAGAATTGTATAATTTATAATTTCAATCCCATTTCACAAATAATAGGGGCAGATTTAGCTGAATGACTATTCTTAAGATAACGTTTTAAACTGCTGAATTAAAACGTTCACTTAATTCACCACAAAGATAAATTTAAGTCCATAGTTGCCAAAACAGCATCTGCACATTACGTATAATGACGTATGTTCTTCTGAACAGTTCTAAGAATGTCCCCACGCTCTCTTCACGCACAAACAGACCTGTCTTCCTTCCTAGCCTGTCTCCCCAGGCCCACCTCCCCCTCAAAGCCTTACTTTAACAGCTCTCTTGTTCTCCTCTGTCCATGCTGTTTCCTCCTCTTCTCCCTCCTGGCCTCATCCTAGTTCCCTCTCCTGTCACGGTCCCCTTTGGTCTCATCGTCCCATTCTATCCCCGTGCTCCTCCACACCTTCACTCCACCTCTGCTTCTGACATATGGGGTGGGGGGTCTACACTATATTTCACCCTAAAAGAGATGAAGCCATTTTCTCCAAGAACCAGGGTGAATAAGAGATTCAAAGGAGGAGCCTTTCCTTTTCCTATTCTCGGTAGTTTCCATTGTTAGCCTGCTAGAGAAGGTGTCTCTTCAGCACCACCTTAGGTTGTCCACCTATAGCTGGACCAAGGACAACAGGACAAGGTGTTCCAAGCATTCAAATATGGTAAAGTAACTTCTTTTTTTTTTTGAATACTAATGTCTTGAATGACCATGGCACATTTTTGGCATTGTATGGACAAAGAAAATACATAAAGGAAGCAATTTCCTAACAGCATACGTAATTGAAAGAAGTCTGAAAGGACATTTTCTACAAAAGAAGGATAATTTTTGAAAAGCAAATTCTAGAATGATATTGCTATTTACAATGATTTAAAAATCTTCAGTGTTTGGCCAAAGCAAAAATTCTATTAAATTGAAGTCCTCACTTCACATTACTAATTTTCTCTATGAAATGTCTTTCTGCCATAAAATTTGCTTTCATCAATTTTCTAAGATGAGAATTGAAAATAATCTCTGATGTTACTGTTCTTTGGTGAATTCTGAATCTCTATTGGTGGTTCCTCATCCAGCGTTACCCGCATAGGGTAAGACAGCTACTTTTCATTGAACATTTGCTTGAGAAGGGGCTGCACTGGCTAAAACATGAAGCCTCCTTGCTTTGGGTTAGAATTATATTATACCAGGGTGCAAGAAATTACTTGCTGCTTAAATTACTTTGGCAAACACTGGCAAAATATGAACTGGGAACAAAAGAATAAAAGAAAAAGACAAGGAAATATTTTATTGTTCTGTGACAAAGCTTGAAGTTGCAATTAGTATTTTACATTTATCACACGCTGGGCAAGGGTTTCCTGGGACATAAAAATCTGAGTTAAAGATACGTGCAAGATTTATTAAAAATAATTTGAGAATATTAATATACAAAAGGACACCCAAGGAAGAACAAACCTTTTACTCTTCTGGATAATGGAATTTAAGATTCTGGTCTCCTGTGAAGTCAATGAATTAATTTAGGTTGCTCTCAAGTTATAAACAGGTGTCTTGCATAAATAACTCAATAAGCATTTGTTGAATAAATAAGTGAGGAATCAGCTTTGAAAAGCTAAATTATAAGGTACTTAGAACTTAAAATGCATTTCTGTCTCACAGAAAGTTTTATAAATACAAACTGCCTTCTTGCATGATCCCATAAAAGCTTAGGATCAATATAATAGGTAGTATATAGGTAGTATATAGGTAGTATATATAGGTAGTATATATAGATCTTACAACAAGATCTCTTATTGTAAATCCCTGGAACCAGACTGTTTCAAAATTTGAGGGTTTTTAATGATAAGTACATACACAGTATTTTCCATAGTTCTCTCAGTGGGGTCTGGAACAACACCCTTTAATGAAGCTATATATTTTTTATTTTTTTAACTTAAAAAAAAATTTTTTTTAAAGACAGGGTTTCACCATGTTGGTCAAGGCTGGTCTTGAACTCCCAACCTCAGGTGATCCACCTGCCTTGACCTCCAAAGTGCTTGGATCACAGGCGTGAGCCACCATGCCCAGCCGAATGAAACTATATTTTTGTAGTCAAATATAATACCTATTCACACTAAGTGAAATAAGATCTATTTCATATTTGTTCAAATAAGGTTTTTATTGCCAAATCAATTTTGACGCAAAGGATATGAAAGATGTTGGATTTTCGGAGATCTGTAAATTTCAAATGTAGATAAGGAATTGTGTATTTGTAGGATCTAACCATGATGTTCATTTTTGATGAGTCCAGCCATGAGAGAAAGAATGGACTTTTCATCTCCTACCCTGGGCCTTGCCAGTGGATGTAGGACTCCCATCTCTCTAGAAAAGTGACATTTAACCTTTTGAGAATCTGGTGAAAGCTACATGTCCTCCTAGAAAAGTTTACCAACACACAGAGACACAAAAAAATGCATAGAATTTCATGGGTTTCACAGACATGTGTCTTAGATAAAGAACCCCTGGGCTATAGCAGGGGAACTGAAGATTCTAGGTATTCCAGAAGTGGCACAGAGGGTCCTGGGCAGAGCTGGTAACCGCAGGCTGGGATGCAAGAGGCAGGGTAGACATAACAGTGGTAGATGTGCCCCGCAAACAGCAGGCTCTTAATTACTGTGTGCCTGTTGACTGAGGTGCTCTGAGGCTCAGTGTGGACAGGAGCTCCAGCTATTTCTATATAAGGAATACTTATGGGCTCAAGATTGCCTAAAATGGGAGGAAGGATAAGAAAGGAGATCAAAGATAACACAAGCTAATTCCAATTGGGACAGCTGGGAGTTGACAGAGTTGGTACTTTAAAAATCTACAAAGAAATGATATTATTAACAGCCTTTTGAACCATCTCTGTTTCAAAAGACTGTCTTTGCCAATATGCCTCACTGGACTTGGAGACCATCCTCTTGGGGTGGAGACAGGTATTTACATTTCACTGGTGATTCAAAGATTGATTCTTCAGCTGAGATGAAAGGCAAGAAGCCAGCGAAATCCAAGTATTGTGGTACTCTGTAACAAGGCCACCTGTCAACTAAAAATGAACTAGCTTCACTAGTAGGTTCCAGTATGGTAAGCCATGCAGGGACTAGGCTTTAGGTTTGAAGCCTTTCTGTTATTTTATAATGATACTTTTTTTTTTTTTTTTTTGAGACGGAGTTTCACTCATGTTACCCAGGCTGGAGTGCAATGGCGCGATCTCGGCTCACCGCAACCTCCGCCTCCTGGGTTCAGGCAATTCTCCTGCCTCAGTCTCCTGAGTAGCTGGGATTACAGGCATGCACCACCATGCCCAGCTAATTTTTTGTATTTTTAGTAGAGACGGGGTTTCACCATGTTGACCAGGATGGTCTCGATCTCTTGACCTCGTGATCCACCCGCCTCGGCCTCCCAAAGTGCTGGGATTACAGGCTTGAGCCACAGCGCCCGGCTATAATGATTCTTAATTTCTCTATTTTCTAATTTCTTCCATAAAAGTTCACTTACAATACACATTTATAATATGGGAAAACAAACTGAGTTATCAATCACTTCAAATACTAGTGCAGCAAAATAATGTCATTATGACCAGAAATTTGGTCTTGCTTGAGAAACTTTACTTCTTACCTTTAGGTTGGGAGATTTTAGAAACATTATACTTTTTCTTCTCCTTTTCTTTTACCACAGGCTGCTTTAAATAATTTCTATTAATGGCCTTTTCTGAACAATCAGAGAGAAAGTCTTTTGAATAATCATACTGAGAACTTAAACTTCGGCAGGAGCACTGAGATCTGCTATAGTCAACACTCTTATCGGAGGCGTTACTGTTCTGTGAAGAATCGCCCGTGTCTGGGCTTCTCTTGCATTCTTCAGACCTGCTACTGTTTTCTAATGCCACACTGGAGAAATGTTCATCTATGTTTGTTTTTGTTAGATCAGCCAAAGACATAGCAAACAACCTAACCAAAAAAAAAATTTTTGAATTTATATTTATTAACATTAAAATGAACCAATGCTTTATTTTATATATATACATATTTTTGAGACAGGGTCTTACTCTGTTGCCTAGGCTGGAGTGCAGTGGTGTGATTATGGCTCTCTGCAGCCTCAACTTTCTGGGCTCAAGCGATCCTCTCAGCTCAGCCTCTGGAGTAGCTGGGACTACAAGTGTGTGCCGTCATGCCTGGCTAACTTATTATTATTATTTTTTGGTAGAAATAGGGGTCTCACTGTGTTGCCCAGGCTGGTTTCAACTTTTGAGCTCAAGTGATCCTACCACCTCAGTCTCACAAAGTGGTGGGATTATAGGTGTGAGCCACTATGCTCAGATATAGACACAAACTTTGAATACTTTGAATAAGCCCTCTTAGTTGAATAAAGTGAGAATTTAAAAGTTAAGGAATAGAAAGTCAAATCCAAGAAAGACCCAAAATTTATATCTTTAATAAAATTAACATTAGTTAAAAATCAGAAGGTTCTGCATTTCTTTCTAGTGCTACGGCACTAAGACATGGTAACGCCACAAGTGTCTCTTTCACAGCAGCCTACCTCAAAAGCAGATTGAAACAAACAGATCCATCTTCTGAGGTCTTTAAAAGGATTATCTTTTCATTTAATTCTCAATTCTCCTGTTTTATCAAGAAAGCAAAAGGGAATTTAGCTGGCATTAGATCCTTTGCAACAGGAATCTAATATCACTCTCTCTACTGAGAGGTTTTTTTCTGTTAAGTTTCTGCTTTTTGCTGCATCTGCTTAACTCTCTAGCCTTCTCTTCTGATGAAATATATCAGGCAGTCTACAATCTCCCCACTACAAGGAATCAGTCCAAATGATCTAGTAGTAATTAATATTAGAATTATACTTAATATCTAACTAGTGCTCTTACTTTGTTCAAACTGCTTTCACATCACCTAATCTCAGCCACCTCGAGGAAACAGGTTCAGACAGGTGAACAGTTAAGAGACTGTCCATGTTTTCCAGCTCCAGGGGGAGTGCTTTTCTCATTAAGCATCATGACTGCAACAACACATTGGTAGGAACATCACACACTCCTAATGCAAATAATTTCTCTTTCTAGACACTTTCTGCTGTGTAGCGGTGGGCAGAAGCATCTAGATTAAGAAGAATCCAGGCTGGGCACTGTGGCTCACTTTGGGAGGCTGAGGTGGATGGACAGCGTGAGCTCAGGAGTTCGGGACCAGCCTAGGCAACATGGTGAAACTCTGTCTTTACAAAAAAACAAAAATATTAGCTGGGCATGGTGGTGCACAACTGTAGTCCCAGCTACTTGGGAGGCTGAGGTGGGACTGCTTGAGCCCAGGAGGCAAACGTTGCAGTGAGCTCTGATCGCACCACTGCACTGCAGCCTGGGTGACAGGGCCAACTCTGTCTCAAAAAGAAGAATCTCAGATGTAGACATAAGGGATCCTGAAGGACTAAAAATGCTCCATTGTAGCCCTCATAGTCTTGCGTGTCCTTGTCCCCAGGAGCTGTTCCTTCCTGCCCTCTTGCTCATGACCTCAGTCCCTAACTTCCTCCTCACCTATCTTGATAAATCCAAATTGCTCAAACAATGGTTGATAATCCTCAAGAAGTTGTATTTTGGCCAGTTGTTTATGACTCAAGCTAGACTTCAGCTGACTTTTGCTCAAGCCCTATAAAAATTCCCTCCTTCTTCCTCACTTTAGAACTCTCCTTCAACAAGTCTCCTGCAGGCAATTTTGGATAAAGGCTTAAATCAAGAGTGTTTTTCATGTTACATTCTTGAATTGTCCAACTACAGAAGTGGCGGGGAGTGTGGTGGAGTAGAAGGTGATGGACAATTTGGAGGTGGACAGGCTTGGGTTTGAACTTGCATCTGCCTGTCACTTAAGTGCCCTTGTCCATCTGTAAAATGTGAGTGACACCACCAATCCCATAGGGTTGAGAAAGAAAAGAAGCTTATCTGAGGAATACAGATCCCCTTTAAATGATCAGGCCCAAAGAGGCATTGGAATGAGACTGCAGTCACGTCCCCCATCCCCCCAGCTGAGCTAAGTAATCATTTCTAAGCTGCTTGCTCCGTGGGCTCTGACTGATGCCACAAATAGCTATAAATTAACCTAACAATGCCATATGCTGGACACCACAGCTCATACCCTGTGGTTCAAACAACAATCTAATCACCAATCACTGTCATTTCTGTGAACCTATGAGAATTCCTGAAAAACAACGTTTGTAATTCTCCCTCTCCTGACTTGTCCTTTTTTCTTTAAAAAATGCAAGCCCCTCACAGAAGGCTAACGTGAGCTTCGACTGTCTCATGTTTGGTAAAGTAGAAGACTAGCCATCTTAGTCTCTTAGTTAAATAAAAATGGATATAACATGAAAACAAAAAAATTTCAAAGAGAAATCCTGTAGAGCCACATAAGAATAAACAAGACTATAAATAACTTTGCTCCTAAAACAATTCTACCAGATTAAAATGTCCCCTAATGAGGGCTTTCTAGACTTAGCTGTGAGAAAGGTGGTGGATTTGAAGGCGTTACCAGCCTCCACAGGTGGATGTGCAAGTCATAAGCCTCTGTGGATGCTGAGTTGTTCCATTACCTACTGGCTCCAGTGGACAAAATTATCCACAATCTTTCCTGCTCAATAATTTACCTAACCTAATGTTGGGGATCTAGCTTCCTCAGGATGGGTAAAGGGTAGTCTTACTATAAAGACAATTTTTTTTTTTTTTGTGGGATGGATGGGTAGAAAATGACTGCTACCAATTTTCTAGAGGATATACTGTCAGCTTGCTTTCATCAAACTTCTAAAACACATAGTATGAGGCAGTGCAATTCTACTATTGATCACTATTATAACCTAATCTGTCTCACGTAAAAAAAGCTATAAGCAACTTCAGATTAATTGCTGCGCTCATCGATTTGTCTCATAATTAAATAGGCAAAAGTATCTGAAAATCAAAAATCATAATTTCAATCCACATCCTAAGATACTGAATTTTTGGGAGCTTACTAAATTTAAAAGTTTTCATAAATGCTTTATATTTAGAGTATATTTAGATGCTATATTCTTTTGAAAGAATATATTTACAACTTGTTAAGATCAGTGTATGAACTGACTGGCCCAGTGTTTATCACAGTTTATTAATGTCACTAAAGCAGCTTTTAGGTAAACTTTTTGCTATAACAAAGAGACAACTGTTCTTAATATTAATGGCATAGTCTTTGACAAAAAGAAGTCATAAGAAAAACTGGTACCAGCTGGTTTCATATTAAACAGTTCAGTAACAATGATATCAACACTTACATGAATTTTGTACCTGATTCACTAACATTTTAAAATGAAGATCTTGAAAAATATATCAAATAGGTCAATTTATTTGGCTTACTGAGTGTATATATTTAACACAACTGATTCCTAAGCTTTCTGAATACAATTCTTTATTTTTAACCCTCTTTTATTGAGGTATCAAGAAAAATTAGTAAGAGTACAGTTTGATAAGATTAGAAATGTGTATACCCATGAAACGATCACCACAGTCAAGACAGTGAACACATCCACATAATGTCCCAAAGCTTCCCAGAACCCCACCGTAATTTTTCTCTTTTACCCCTGCCTGCGCCTCACTCCCAACCCAGGCAAACACTGGTTTGCCACTATCAATTATGTTGCATATTCTAGAGTTTTATATAAATGAAATCATCCAGTATATGTTTGTATTTGGCTTGGCTTCTCTCACTCAGCATTATTATTAGGGGATTCATCCATGTTACTATGTGCATCAATATCAATAGTTCATTTTTTTTTTTTTTTTTTTTGAGACGGAGTTTCGCTCTTGTTCCCCAGGCTGGAGTGCAATGGCGCGATCTCGGCTCACCGCAACCTCCGCCTCCCGGGTTCAGGCAATTCTCCTGCCCCAGCCTCCTGATTCGCTGGGATTACAGGCACGTGCCACCATGCCCAGCTAATTTTTTGTATTTTTAGTAGAGACGGGGTTTCACCATGTTGACCAGGATGGTCTCGATCTTTTGACCTCGTGATCCACCCGTCTCGGCCTCCCACAGTGCTGGGATTACAGGCGTGAGCCACCGCGCCCGGCCTAGTTCATTTGTTTTTTTAAAGTTGCTGAGTAATTTCCAATTGTATGTATAAACCATAATTTGTTTATTCATTTGTTCACAAACATTTCAGCTGTTTCTAGTTTTGGACTATTACAAATAAAATTGCTGTGAATATTCTGGATATAAGTCCTTTATCAGATACATGCTTTGCAAACATTTTCTCCTCATCTGTGATTTTTCATTCTCTTAAAAATGTCTTTTAAGGAGCAGATTGTTCATTTTGGTGAAGACTCATTATCAATTTGTTCTTTGAAGAATGATCCTTGCTGGGTGGCTCATGCCTGTAATCCCAGCACTTTGGGAGGCTGGGGCGGGTAGACTGCCTGAGGTCAGGAGTTTCTGAGCGGCCTGGCCAATATGGTGAAACTCCAACTCTACTAAAAAAATATGAAAATTAGCCAGGCATGGTGGCTGGCACCTGTAATCTCAGCTACTCGGGAGTCTGAGGCAGGAGAATCGCTTGAACCTGGCAGGTGGAGGTTGCAGTGAGCTGAAATTGCACCATTGCACTCCAGCCTGGGTAACAAGAAACTCCCATCTCAAAATAAATAAATAAATAAATAAATAAAAGATCCTTTTGGTGTTGTATCTAAGAAATTTTTGCATGACCTGAGGTCACAAAGATATCCTCGTTGCTTTCTTCTAGAAATTCTACTTTAAGTCTGTAATCTATTTTGAGTTACTTATTATGGATCAAAATTCATTTTCTGGTATACGGACGTCTAATTGCTCCAGCACCATTTGTTGAAAAGACAATCCTTTTCCCACTCAACTGCCTTTCCATCTTTGTAAAAACCCATATAATCCATATGTTGATCTATTTCTGTGCTCTCTATACAGTTCTACTG